AGAGAATCTCTTGATCCCAGGAGTTTGAGGTTAGTGAGCTGATCGCGCCATTGCACTCTAGCCTGGGCAACAGAGCAAGACCCTGACGCATACACACATACACAAAAAGATTTACCCAGATAAAGTTTAGGGAGCAAAAGGGAAAGGGGTGTCCAGATCAAGAAAATAGCGTTTGTGAAAAACACCAAGCTTGGTTCTTTGAGTGAAGCACACGTAAAGCGTGAGAGAGGGAAAAATTGGGTACTTCTCAGAATCGGGCTCTGGAAGTAGCCAGACCCATGATAATGAAGTCCAAGAGACTAAACGTTTTCTTGTCACAAATGTTTAAGGATTCGGACTTTGTCCTAAAATGATGGGAAGCCATTAATGGTTACATGATGAGTTCCTAGTTCCACATGGTTTTATTTATTTATGAGACAAGGTCTCACTCTGTCACCCAGGCTGGAGTGCAGTGGCATGATCTTGGCTCACTGCAACCTTCATCTCCCAGGTTCAAGTGATTCTCCTGCCTCAGCCTCCCGAGTAGCTGGGACTACAGGCACAAGCCACCATGTCTGGCTAATTTTGTATTTTTAGTAGAGACGGGGTTTCACCATGTTGGCCAGGCTGCCACGTGGTTTTAAATACGGTTGGTCCTCCCAATCTGTGGGTTCCACATGCATAAATTCAATCAGCCACAGATCAGAAATAAACAGGAAAAAAAAAAAGGAGGGTTGAGTCTATATAGGAAGTTGTTTAGGAAAGAATGACAAGAAAACATCTGTACAAGTCTGAACATGCATAGACTTTTTTTCTTCTCATTATTTTCTAAACAATGTGGTATAACAACTATTTACATAGAATTTACGTTATACTAGATATCATAAGTAATCTAGAGATGATTTAAAGTATACAGACAGAAGTATGTGTATGGGTTACATACAAATACTATGCCATTTTATATAAGAAAGTTGAGATCCATGGATTTTGGCATATGCAGGGGGGAATGGGAACCAGTCCCCCACAGATACCGAGGGATGACTGTACTTGAAGTTGCCAGAAATCCAAGCTCTACAAACTTTCTAAAATTTGCCCCCTGAAAAATAAACCCAAACCAGATTCTTTTTTTATCTTTTGCATTTGAAACAGATAGAAATCCATTTGTCCACACAGCAACTTCCAAATTTCCACTTGTTAACAGTTCATATCACTGTAATACCAGTATCTGTTTGATAAGTATAAAGTATCCTATTGAGAGGTCAATAAAAAATACTTGGGAGGCTGAGGCGGGCAGATCACGAGGTCAGGAGATCGAGACCATCCTGGCTAATATGGTGAAACCCCGTCTCTACTAAAAATACAAAAAATTAGCCGGGCATGGTGGCATGCACCTGTAGTCCCAGCTATTCGGGAGGCTGAGGCAGGCTGCACTCCAGCCTGGTGACAGAGTGAGACTCCGTCTCAAATATATATATACACACACACACACACACACACACTATATATACACATAAAATACATATATATACACATTAAGTTAACTGTCTATATATATATATAGACTACTATATTTCAATTTTTTAAATTTATTTTTGAAACAGAGCCTCACTCCATCACCCAGGCTGGAGTGCAGTGGCGTGATCTCAGCTCACTGCAACCTTCGCCTTCCGGGTTCAAGCAATTCTCCTGCCTCAGCCTCCCAAGTAGCTGGGATTACAGGTGCATGCCACCACTCCTGGCTTTTGTATTTTTAGTAGAGACAAGGTTTCACCCTGTGGGCCAGGCTGGTCTCTAACTCCTGACCTCAGGTGATCCGCGTGCTTGGTCTCCAAAGTTCTGGGATTATAGGCATAAACCACCTTGCCCGGCCTAGACTACTATATTTCAGAGGTGCAGAAATCACTTAGTCAAGACTATAAGATGCCCCTCCAAAATATAACAAATGAATAGGTATAGTCATCTGCTTAAGTGCTACAAATGACTCAAAGTTTACTACTTTTCAACCTTATCCATTCTGGTTTCTTGTTTTGTTTTTTAACTACTCTGGCTGTGCACTCATTTTTCCTTCTGTGAGTAAAAATGTCTTTTCTGTAATTTCACTTCTTAGCCTTGTTCTGTTTTTTGAACTGCATAGAATAAGCCCAATTTGTCATTTTAGAAGTGGTTAATAGAAGAGCCTTTACCTAAAAACTAAGGTGCTCTGATGAAACTAGAGATCAGATTATGAATTAGAAAGTGGGACTATATAAAAAATCCATTAGGGTAAGCACAGTAGTAAGAGAGAGTGATTCTTCTTTCTTCTTTCCTCCTCCTCTTCTCCTTCTTCTTCTTCTTCTCCTTCTTCTTCTTCTTTCTTCTTCTTTCTTCTTCTGTTTCTTGAGATAGAGTCTCTCTCTGTTGCCCAGACTAGAGTGCAGTGGCTCGATCTCAGCTTGCTGCAACTTCCGCCTCCCAGGTTCATGCCATTCTCTTGCCTCAGCCTCCCAAGTAGCTGGGACTACAGGTCCCCGCCACCATGCCCAGCTAATTTGTGTGTGTGTGTGTGTGTGTGTGTGTGTGTGTGTATTTTTAGTAGAGACAGGGTTTCACTATGTTAGCCAGGATGGTCTCAATCTCCTGACCTCGTGATCCACCTGCTTCGGCCTCCCAAAGTGCTGGGATTACAGGTGTGAGCCTCCGCGCCCGGCCTGGTAGTGATTTATCTTCTATTCCATAACAACTAATAAATAGCATAAAATTGACTGTACTCAGAACTAGAGACTTATTTCTTTCCTTTGATCCACAAATGGAATCCCTAATGTGTGAATCGCATTTTATTACAAATTCTGGGGGAATAAGTAAAAGAAAAAGAATATTCAGGTTATAAGATCTTGTGCTCTTACAGCATATGATTTCTTTTGAGAGAAAAGATTTGTATGATGATGTAGATGTAATAGGTGAACACATGCCAAATGACCAGTATGCCAAGGGAGAGTTGGAGGAGTTCCAATAAAGAGATCATGGTGGGCTGGGGAGGAGTAAATCCTCTACCAAGAAATACCTGGCCAGATGCAGTGCATCATGCCTGTAATCCCAGCACTGTGGAAGGCTGAGGCAGGAGGATAGCTTGAGCCCAGGAGTTCAATACCAGTCTGGTTTAAGACGGGATCTCACTCTGTTGCCCAGGCTGGAGTGCAGGGGTGCGATCTCAGCCCACTGCAACCTCCACTTCCTGAGTTTAAGCGATTCTCCTGCGTCAACCTCCCAAGTAGCTGGGATTACAGGCTTGTGCCAACATGCCTGGTTAATTTTGTATTTTTAGTAGAGACAAGTTACACTATATTGCCCAGGCTGGTCTCGAACTCCTGGCCTCAGGTAATCTGCCTGCCTCGGCCTCCCAAAGTATTGGGATTACAGGTGTGATTCAATGCGTCCAACTGCTATACCAAAAAAAAAAAAAAATTGTTTAAATTAGCCCAGCGTGGTGGCACACACATGTAGTCTCAGCTACTCAAGAGGTTGAGGATCTCATGAGCCTGGAAGGTCAATCCTATAGTGAGCCATGATTGTGCCACTACACTCCAGCCTGGGCAACAGAGCAAGTCCTCATCTCAAAAAGGAAATAATTAAAAAATAAATGCCCGACTCACTGAATTTCTCTTTAGAGTGGGATGGACCAGACTTTATTTATAATTTATACTCTTCTTCCTCCTTTCCATTTCTCTCTCTACCGTCACCCTTAGCAATTATTTGGCCTGAATGAGAAGTCAAACAGTATTTACTGAATAGAATTGGCTTATCTCCCCTGCTCTGTTAGTAATTTTATTTATTTATTTTTTTTTTTTTCCTGAGACGGAGTCTCGCTCTGTCGCCCAGGCTGGAACGCAGTGGTGTGATCTTGGCTCACTGCAAGCTCCACCTCCCGGGTTCACTTCATTCTCCTGCCTCAGCCTCCAGAGTAGCTGGGACTACAGGCACCTGCCACCATGCCCAGCTAATTTTTTTTTATTTTTCTTTATTTATTTTTTGTAGAGATGGGGTTTCACTGTGTTAGCCAGGATAGTCTCAATCTCCTGACCTCGTGATCTGCCTGCCTCGCCCAGCCACTCTGTTAGTGATGTTTAAGATGTTTCATTTGGGGGCTGGGCACAGTGGCTTACGCCTGTAATCCCAGGACTTTGGGGGGCCAAGGCAGGTGGATCACGAGGTCAGGAATTCAAGACCAGCCTGGCCAATATGGTGAAACCCCGTCTCTACTAAAAATACAAAAATTAGGCCGTGCGCGGTGGCTCAAGCCTGTAATCCCAGCACTTTGGGAGGCCGAGATGGGCAGATCACGAGGTCAGGAGATCGAGACCATCCTGGCTAACATGGTGAAACCCCGTCTCTACTAAAAAAATAAAAAAACTAGCCGGGCGAGGTGGCGGGCGCCTATAATCCCAACTACTCAGGAGGCTGAGGCAAGAGAATGGCATAAACCCGGGAGGCGGAGCTTGCAGTGAGCTGAGATCTGGCCACTGCACTCCAGCCTGGGCAACAGAACGAGACTCCATCTCAAAAAAAAAAAAAAAAAAAAAAAGTTGCATTTTATAATAATCTTTTTTCCTTATTCAATGTTTCTTTACTTTCTGAATTTTTTAAGTGAATATGAATTTTTTCTTTTTCTTTTTTACCAAATACCCAGACTTCAAGGAGAGAATACATATTTTTGAGCTAAAACGCACATACAAAAATCTTCACACCTATTGTGGGAAAATATGCAAAAGCCAATTTTTTCAAGATACGTGAAAAAAAAAAAAAACTTTTCTTTCACTCTTTTGAAATGGGTTCTGTTAGGAGCTTTGCCAATGTACATTTCATGTCCAGCAGCTTCTGAATGGCTATCTTGGGCCAACCTTAGAGATTAAAATAAGTGGATTATGTGGCATGATGACAGTAATGAGCTATTGATTTAGCAGCAAAGCTTTGCTTATCATTTCTTATTTCTCTGTCTGCCTGATTTCCTTCAAGAACTACTTTATCGTGTTTCTTTCCTCTTCCAGCGGAACGGAAGCCCCCCCTTTTCAACATGAATGCAATGAGTGCCTTATATCACATTGCTCAGAATGACTCCCCAACGTTACAGTCTAATGAATGGTAAGACTCTGCTATCATTTTAAATCTCTAAGAAAATCACCATATGTATTGGCATTTTTATTACCTTACATTTTAAATATCTGACCTAGAAAGCATTTCTTTCCTTCACTGTGTGTTGTTATAGGTGACACTGATGCCTCACAAGCATCAACTGTCTACACATGAACACACGCATAGATTTACTTATTTTTGCCTTCATCATGGCTTGCACTGTGTTCTTAGTGTGTCTGGTAACCGAAATCCTGCAGGGAACATGCCCTGCTACCCTCCTAACAAGTCTACTGTCCCAGGCTGTGATGGTCTTGTATTGATCATCTCAGCTGATATCACTTCTCAGCAGAGATAAGGGGCCCTCTATGATGTCATTATTTCTCCAGTTGTCTTTTGTTTTTTTAAACTACATGTACACTTAAATGTGTTGAGACAGAACATGCATTATCTGTTCAGATACATTGTGCCTTGCTGAAAAGTATGATATTTTTATTTGGGCCACAAGAGTTATTTTAAAAGGGGCAATATTAAAGAAGAGTGGATAAAATGGAACTTTTAAGATAGGAAGTGTTTTTATTCAGGAAGCCTACTCCTAGGTTCTGCATTGCTCATGCTTCAAATTTTACTACTTTGTTGTAGATTGTGGGTGATAGAGGAATTAACAATTGGTAATTAAGAATATAGAGTTGAGACTATAAGAATTGTTGTCTTTGGAGAGAAAAATGTACATAAAACTATTTTATATAAATGTAGTATTTTTGTTTTCTGATATATATTATGATTTGACCTTCCTTGTATACTAAGATGTATTTGTATGTTGACTGACTTGAAACTTGTCCTTACTCATTATCCAAAAGAATTAATTTTAGATATCATAACTTGAAAATGCTCCAGTTCTCCTGATATTCTAAAGCATTTATTTTTTAAAATCTCCTTAAATGCATTTCTCTTGAATGAAAATTGTTTTAAGTAATCAGTGTGCTCTACAGACCCTGAGTTTATTTTCTTTTTTGTATTTGCACACACAGGACAGACTCCTTTAGGAGATTTGTTGATTACTGCTTGCAGAAAATACCTCAGGAAAGGCCAACATCAGCGGAACTGTTAAGGGTAATTTTTCAAATTTATATTTGAGGAGGGGGATTTAAAGTCGTGTTATAGTGGAATATAATAAATCATTGCTTTGGCAGCCCATCATGACAAAGTGGTTTAGAACGTGCTGCCTTGTCATTTATCCAGAGATAAGTAGCTAGGCATAGAAATAGCAAGATTATTGCAACGTATGTGCTATGTATTCCCTGTGGATAGTTTTTCCCCTGTCTTTTCCATTTTTTCCCCTCCCTCCCTGTTCCTTTTTTACCTTATAACAAATAATATTTCTCCTCCTTGCTCTAGTCATCATTGCGATGTTCCTGGGCCTAACGTCTGCATAAATATTAATCCCGTGGTCTCAGGACAGAGCTGGCCGGTGGTTCAAACACCAACTCTGGGATTTTCAGTTAGCTTGTTGCCAAATCCTCAGGCAGTGAAGGTATATGATAACTATATAGAGTAGACATTTACATAGTATTATGGCATGTTAGTGATAAGAGTATCACGTTAACCACATTTATTTGATTTAACTGTCACCAAGCATCTCTTTTCATATTATATTTTACTGTGGACTTTATACATAGGCAGTGTGTTGCATCAATATCAGTGTAGTATGTGGAAATCTTTTACAATAGGAATGTTTTATTTGGCACACAATAGTCCAGATTTCTTTAATCCTTTTTTTGCATGTATGTTTTTCAACCCTTTCTGTTTCTTCCATCTCTAGAATGGCTGACTTTTATTGTGTAGCAGTTTTGTTTGTTCGTTTTTAAGAAAAACTCAGAAGAGTTGTATTGTCTCAATTTGTAAAGCTTTAAAATGTCTGCCTTTATAATTGAGAACACCTTGGCTAGGTGACAAGTAAGTTTTTTCTTCTTGTGAGCGGTAGGCCATAGGAGTATGGTAAGAGAAGCAACAGGACAAAGGGCTTGATCTTGTTCTCCTTTGTTGTGGAGCCCTTACATGTTTTAAACATGAACTACGTGGCAACATTTCCATGTTTCTTTAGGGGAAAATAGCAACCAGAACGAAACACCAGAAACACACAATAATATCTTTATTACCTTGAAGTACACAAAGATCTTAAAAACAAACAAACAAAAAACCAAGACATAAAAATTACTACCATAAAAGGGAAAAAAATGTGAAGCTGGGTTTGGTGACTCATGCCTATAACCCCAGCATCTCAGGAGGCTAAGGCAGGAGGATCACGTGAGCCCAGGAGGATTTTTGAGGTTATAGTGAGTTATGATTGTGCCACTGCACTCCAACCTGGGCAATAGAGTGAAAATACCATCTCTTTTAAAAAAAAGACAAAAGTGAATAAATTTGGGCTATGTTAAAGTTAAGGATTACAGACAACAAAAGGATATAAAAAGCAAATGGGTAGAGGTAAAGAAAAAAATGGAAGAGAAAAACATAACAATTAAAAAAATCATATTATAAGCAACGAACGTGTAGTAAACCAACCCATTTAGGATGTTTTCAATGGTGAATAGGCTTAAGGAAATAAAATAGAATTAAGTGTAAAAAATAAAAGTTATAAAGATGAGTATAAAGAAAACGATACATTTGGAAGACATAGGAGATCTAATATATGCCAACCTATTATTCCTGAAAAAGAAAACAAAACACATGGAGCAGAAGATATTTAAAGATATCCTTGAAGAAAACTTTTCTGGAAATAAATGTTTTGATCTTTCTTAGATTTGATTCCATCAAATCAAATGAGCCAACTATTCATCAAATATTTACTGATTGTCTGCTGGGTGTCAAGTCCTATTCTAAGCACAGAGAATACAGTAGTACACAATAAAAACATAGTGCCTGCCCTTATGAAACTTACAAGAAAGGGCCGGGCGCGGTGGCTCATGGCTGTAATCTCAGCACTTTGGGAGGCTGAGGTGGGCGGATCATGAGGTCAGGAGATTGAGACCATCCTGGCTAACACGGTGAAACCCCGTCTCTACTAAAAATACAAAAAATTAGCCGGGCATGTTGGCAGGCGCCTGTAGTCCCAGCTATTTGGGAGGCTGAGGCAGGAGAATGGCGTGAACCCAGGAGGCAGAGCTTGCAGTGAGCCGAGATTGTGCCACTGCACTGCAGCCTGGGTGACAGAGCAAGACTCCGTCTCAAAAAAAAAAAAAAAAAAAAACTTACAAGAAGGAGTAAGAAATAAGTAGGCTGGGCATGGTGGCTCACGCCCATAATCCTAGCGCTTTGGGAGGCCGAGGTGGGAGGATCACGAGGTCACCAATTCGAGACCAGCCTGGCCAACATGGTGAAATGCATCTCTACTAAAAATACAAAAATTAGCTGGGCGTGGTGGCAGGTGCCTATAATCCCAGCTACTCAGGAGGCTGAGGCAGGAGAATCGCTTGAAACTGGAAGACAGAGGTTACAGTGAGCCAAGATCGTGTCACTGCACTCCAGCCTGGGCAACAGAGTGACACTAGGTCTCAAAAAAATAAAAAGAAAAAAGAAAAGAAATAAATATATGTTATGGTGCCAGTTGATGGTAAGTGTTGTGCAGAAAAATAAATTAGACAGGCATCAAGATTGACAGGTACTGCTGTTTTAGGTAGAGAGAAGGCCATTCAAGCAGGTGACATTTAAGCAGATCCCTGAAGAGTGGGGACCATGCAACTGATCTTCGTTGATCAATAAATCACGTCCTGGTGAAGTCCCTGAACTCCAAGAATAAAGAAAGATTCATACAAACAGACTGAAAAAGTTTATTTTGGGGTGGATAAACCAGCTGACTCCAGACCTACCTCTTCAGGAACAGTCAAAGCCAGAAAACAATAGAAAAATGTTTGCAGAGTTCTAAGGGAAATAAAATAAAAGCCAAGAATTGTGAGCCAGCCAAGGTGTTCTTAAATTATAAAGGCAGCTGACATCTTCAAACCCCACAAATTTAGGCAATGCAACCTTCCAGTGCTTTCCTTTTAAAAATTGATCAATAACAGAATCTAGCCAATATAGAGATGAAGCAAAAAGAAGAAAAAGAGGGAGGAAGGCAGGGAGGAAGAATGAATGAGGGACTGGAGAAACTGGTAGAAGGGCTGGCGGTAAATATTGAATTTAAAGAGGCCCCTTCCCAAATATTTATTTATTTATTTTGCATGGCTAAAGAAGCGGTATGTTCTTCATTTTGAATAGGTCATACAAATTTCCAAAAGGAAAAATATAGTAGAAGGTAGAACATGGAGCTGGGCACAGTGCCTCACACCTGTAATTCCAGCACTTTGGGAGGCTGAGGCAGGCAGATCACTTGAACCTAGGTATTCAAGACCAGCCTGGACATGACGAAACCCCGTCTCTGCAAAAATTAGCCAGGTGCAGTGGCATGCGCCTGTAGTCCCAGCTGCTTGGAAGGCTCAAACAGGAGAATGACTTGAGCCTGGGAGGCAGAGGTTGCCGTGAGCTAAGATCCTGCCATTGCACTTCAACCTGGGTGATGGGAATGAAACCCTGTCTCAAAATAAAAAGGAAGAAGAAGAAGAGCCGGGTGCAATGGCTCACACCTATAATCCCAGCACTTTAGGAGGCTGAAGTGGGCAGATCACCTGAGGCCAGAAGTTCAAGACCAGCCTGGCCAACATGCAGAAGCCCCATTTCTACTAAAAATACAAGTATTAGCCAGGCATGGTGGTTCACACCTGTAGTCCCAGCTTAATCGGGTGGCTGAGGCAGGAGAATCGCTTGAACCTGGGAGGTTGCAGTGAGCCAAGATGGTGCCCCTGCACTCCAGCCTGGGCAACAGCGAGACTCTGTCTCAAAAAATAACAAGAGAAGGTAGAACATGAAAAAGAAATCTCCCTCCCATTTCAGGCCCCCTCACTAGCAACCACTGCACCTATTTTGTACCTCTCCTTCTAGAGATATTTTATGCATATAAAAGTAAATATTGTTTTTATTTTTTGCACAAATGACAGTAAACCATTAAAACCATTCCACCCTGATTTTTCTTTTTACTTTACAGTATGCTTAGGGTATTGTTTTGTATTACTACATGCAAAGATACCTCGTTCTTTTTAATGGCTCCATAATATTCTCAGATGGACCATAATTTGTTTAACCAACCCATTTAGGATGTTTCCAATCTTTTGATATTACAAACTGTGCTGCAATTAATATCCTCATGTATATGGCATTTTGTACCTGTGTAAGAATATCTTAAGAATAAATTCCAGCCGGGCATGGTGGCTCATGCCTGTAATCCCAGCACACTTTGGGGGGCCAAGGTGGGCAGATCACAAGGTCAGGAGTTCAAGACCAACCTGGCCAACATGGTGAAACCTTGTCTCTACTAAAAATACAAAAATTAGCTGGGCATGGTTGCATGCATCGGTAATCCCAGCTACTCGGGAAGCCAAGGCAGGAGAATCACTTGAACCCAGGAGGCGGAGGTTGCAGTGAGCCAAGATCGTGCCACTGCACTCCAGCCTAGGCAATAGAGCAAGACTCCATCTCAAAAAAAAAAAAAAAATAAATAAATAAATAAATAAATAAATAAATAAATTCCTAGAAGTGGAATTGCTCATCAATGTGGATTTTAAATTTACATAGATATCGCCCATTTGTCCTTCAAAGCATTTGTACCAAGTTATAGTCCCACTGTGAAAGTATGAAGACTGATACTTTTTGAACTTTGTCAGATCAGTGAAAACTTTTCTCACTATAGTTTTAATTGGTATTTCTCATTATGGGAGATGTTGATCATCTCTCTCATATGTTGAAAAGCTATTTGTATTTCCTTTTTAATTTATAGTAGATCTTGGATTTTTTTTTTCCTATTTCTCTTTTGACATTCTTTATGCTGATGTTTTGTGGAGAGGAGGTGGGGAGAGTTATGCAAAAATTTGTTACAAGGTGTAAGGTAAAAATCTACCTTTTTTCCCCCCCAGTTAAACTATCTACTTACTCCCAAATATTTTTCAATAATCCATCTTTTCCACACATTTTTGCCCTGACATTAAAACATCACTTTCACACTTAATCCATTTAAATAAACA